CTGTGGCAGGTGTCATATCTTGCTACTTGGTCATTTTTTCCCCTTGGTTAGCAGCTGCTTCTTCCTTTCAACAGCAATCCAATGATAGACAATTCACTGCTGGTCAATTATTCATCACTTAGGGGAATCAGTTTTCAACTTTTGCCCATATTTTCATGTTTTGAGCTTTAACTGTGCATCATAAAAATAGACGTGGTACCAAGCTTCTTTTTGCACAGAAAGTTCTCAAGATAGCAGACCAGGGATCTTGTGCAGTTACTATAGGGCTCAGCTAGTATAAGGTCTAAGGTCTATTCCTAGAGGTAATAGTACCATTGTTACTAGGAACCTGGGTACAAAAGTGTCTATACATTGTTTACCAGTTATGCTACATTACTGTGCTTACATTTGAATTCAAAACAGGAGAAAATTAATTAAATCCTGCTTAGAGAGCTTTTGCTTTCATGTGTGCAGCTGGAGGCTGCTGTGCCTACAGAAGGGAAAGTCCTCAGGTTTGAGAGGCAATTCCATTATCAGAGCTTTGGGAAAAAAAAAATCAGCAAGAGTAATGTATAGCACCTATTTAAAAAAAAGAAAAGTCAAGAAAAAAGACTATGTCTGTAGAAGGCAAGAGAAGGAGGTCATCTTGGGAACAATAAAGCATGCATGCTGTATTTTTAGTCTTCGTCTGTGACCTTGAGTGAATATATCCAACTACATTTTATTGCAGTTAATGGATAGCTGAGACTATAGCTGAGCTCTTTCCACTAACTATAGCTGGTGTTTACAGAAACCTCCTAATACTTTGCCTCTGTGTTTACATACTATTTCTGTGTTAGTGCTCTAGACCATCTGACAATGAAGGTTTTTCTTGTTTGCTTTGTTTTGCTTTTTTTTTTTTAAGGCTATATTTTGTCATTCGATGATACTAAACAAATACTACATTAATAGTGTATTGACAATTTTACAGAATCACTCAGTGGGCTTTGTCCACTCTCCAGTATCCGTGAAGTTCAAACATTGTCAGAATCTTTTTTTGCATGGTACAGTTTTCCACATCAGGCCAGAGATCAGCATGTCACTGTCACTCTCTCCACCTCAGAATGTAGTGGCCAGAATAGCACAAAAAAAGCTAAACAGCCGTAGGCGAGAAGATGATTGTATTGGTATGGGGATGGTGACCAAGAAAACTGTCATATAGGTTGGGCAGCATGTGGGATTTCTAAAATACCAGCTGAAATATCTGTTGCAAAATGTAACTGAAGGTTTGCAGCAATATAAATGAAGGAGAACACAAGTAGTACTGCTTTGCTTTAAAGAGTTATTTCTAGGATTAGAGATGAAAGGGGTGTTGTCACAAAGCTAGAAGAAATATTGCTTTAGTTTTAAGCAAGAATAATGATCTGGAGGTGGGGGTGAGGAAAGGGTTTCCATAGAAATTTGTTTAAAGAAAATAAGAGTTCCATATACTCATGTTGTAAATACCATTTTCCATTTCTGCATTCTGAGATAACTGAAATATGGAACTAAAAGTTCAATAAGTACGATTTTTACCAAGTTTTACTGTGGCTACAATAGTGTTGTATGATTACAGAACATCTAAGAAACTGAGCAAAAAGGATTGATTTTAGGCAATTACACATCTCTTTATCTGACCTTAATGATATGAAAGTTTTTGGAGGAAAGAATAATCAAACATGTGGAGGTTAATCAGAATGGCATAAAATGAAAATGAATAGAAAAAGTAATAGAGTAATTTGCTAGCTTTGACTTTTTTTTTTTTCTGGACACATGAAATCTATCTTGACTTCAGAAAATCACTTGATATTATGTAAAATGGAAAATCATTCATTAGAATAAAAAGTGAAAGAAACGTACAGTGCTGTCTAAAAGGAACATGGCAACAAAATAAAATTGTGGTATCGAAGCAACAAACTTATCTGACATACAGTAAGGCAGTATTGTCAGTGGAGAGGAAGATTAGATTGTCATTACTGAATGGTCCCGAGGATGTAGAGTAAAAGAAATGAAAGTCGATAGTATCAAGTACAAGATCATGCATCTTGATACTGTAATAAGAGCTCTGGTCAAGAAAAAAAAGGATATTTTACCTGAAGATAATCAGATAAGGTATTTCCAGCAGGAATAGAAATGCAAACATTAAAAGGGCTGGTGAGCCTGAAATGGTATGTAGAGAGGTTTTAATACAGATGCAGGTACAGAGGCTTCTGGAATAGTCATGGTATTAGAAAATGTGAATCAAGAGAGGAAACATTAAGAACAAAGTTGTTTCAACCCTGAAAAGCAGAAAGTGAGGAAGTCTAATTACTGTCTTTAATTTTTTTTGACAAGGATAAGAGAGTTCAGAGGGTATAAATGAGATATTCTTCAGGCACACATGCATTGTATTTCATCAAGCAACTTGCTTTTGTGGGCTCACTAATATTCAAACCCCTCATCTTTCACTTAGTTTCCAAACGTATTATATCAGTTGTTCACTTCAGATTTGCTTGGGTTTATATATGAATCCTCTCAGCATTAGGGGTAAAAGTTTGTTCCCTCTGGCCCCCTTTCCTCTTCTTCCATTCTTCTATGTCACTTCAGATTTTTTACTGTATTTTCTAGAGGGCATGGGTGAATGTCAGTAAGTATTTCATGGGATCTTTTTTCAAGGGCTGATTAGACTTGTAGTTTTGTTTTTTCAACTATTTTCACTTAATTTAAAGTTGCTAAGACAATAATTCCAAACTCATACCGATATGTTGCAAGCTAGCCTCTATGTGAGACTATCAACAGAAGTATAGTCTTAGAGGAAAATATATCTAGTAGATGCGCATTGCTGAAATGACAGGAATGCTGAATGTTTATACTGAGGAACGACTTAAAATCATGACAGAGAGAAAAGAACAACCAGCTACAGAATGAGGCAGAGATGTAAAATTCTTGATCAAATACATATCTGTTCAAGGTCAAAAGAACTAAAGGAAACAAAATAAAAAATGGCTTTGCTGAAAGCAAGAATTTGAAAATCTCAGTGCTTTGTCACCGAGTTATAATACAGCCTGTTAATCAGCTCTAGGCACTGAGATCCTTTTTATTAATCTGGCAAAAAGAAAGTGACTCTTTCTCAGCTGCTACCTGCATATTTTTTTAAAACCTGTGTATTTGCTGGGTTTTATCATTCTCATATTATGTATGTTAACTTAATTTTCTGCTATGAACTCATTTTAAGGCAAGACAAGCTATTTTGTGAAGAACTATCATATTAACTATCTGATTTTGATAGTTAATACAAGGTATATATTCTGTGTTTCTTAGGCAGCTTTCTAAGTAAATTTGTGTCTTAAAGTTGTGTGTGCCCACTCCCAAAGGCTTCTTTTGCCAGCAAAAATATGACTTTATATTAAAAACAGGTTGGTTTGGTTGGTTTCTGAAACCTGTGAAGACTGAAACACATCTGTAGTCAGCATTGGCACCTTCTAATTTTAGCTCTGTTTCTGAAACAGTTTCTTAACTAGCTAAATGACCTATCTGGTGATGATTGGTGTTTGCCAGTCACTGGGTGAAAATCTGCCATGTCTGACATACCGTTGGAAAGCAGTGAGTTAGAGTAAACAGCGGATTCTTTAAATTATGATTATAAGCTGAATTGAGTTATAAATTATAATGTGAACATACATTTATATTCCCTTATTCTTTTTAAGAATGATGATTGTATAGAAATGGCTTTTTTTAGGCTGCATTAGCATTTTCACAGGTGATCATTGATCATTTTATACTTGTGTTAACCTTTCTGTTATGAATGGAATTGTAGTTGCTATGCAACATTTTAATCCAGTCATTTGGGGACCCTTGTCAGACTTCTCTGGGAGAAAGATGTGTGCAGTGAGTGTATCTCATTTTCTATCACATAATGCTACTCAGGAGGAAATCATGGATCCATTGCAGATCTTACTGTCTTCATAGGGCCAAAAACTTTATCCAGGGTTTTTGTAGATGAAGGTAACTTTATGCTTATAGGTACAGGATATTGTGAACGGAACAAATGATGGAAAAAAAAGTAAGGTATGCCATTGGACTAAAATTCAAAGTATGTTATTCTCTAAATATTTTTTTCAATGGAACATGTTGAAGTGTTAATTTTACTTCATAAACAGACAGGAAATAAGTTTTAACTGACTTCAATACTGTAAGTCCAGGCTGGAATACATGCTAACAGGAGTTACCCTGATCTTACCATTATGGACTTGATATTTTAAACAACTATTTACAGATCAAGTGTTCAACTTCCGAACACTTGAAGGAATGCATGGAAGTTGAATTTCTCTTTTTCTGATAAAGAAAGTTTACAGTTTTTCTGCATCCTGCTATAAATCCCTCATGTTTTCTCTTTGCTCTTTTCATTCTCCGAAGCGCTATGTTGTTCTGGCTCACCTCAGTGTCTGTAGTTCCCTCTACCTTGAAAAACACTTTGGCTCTGGTAGATTTTGTTGTGTTTTTTATTAGGTATTGTGCTATCAAACAAAGAAGTTGAGTTTTCAGTTTCAAACACAGGTGTTTAATGGCCCCATTTTCTCTGTTTTTGAGAGTCTTATTTTCTTCATGATCTACCATACAAATGTTGGTATTTTTTCTGTTTTAACAGAATGAGATTTAGGAAAGCTCTGTGGTACTTGGAGTCATTTCAAAACTTTCCCTCTAGTTAATCAGAAGAGACAGACTGGCATATGTATATCTCAGGTTATTTAAAACAGACTGTTAGTAGCAGTACTATATCTTAAGCATAAGAATAAAACAAAATTCAGCATTCAAACAGCATTCATCTAATCAGAATGAAGCAACTGTGTAAGCGAGGAGAACTGAGCATTGGAAAGTGGCTTCCCTCATCTTGTAATTTGGTCAGTCTGCTTTTATTTCAGAATTTAAAATGTATGCTGATTTGGATAAGGGTTTATCTTGCATATTTTACAAACAATGTTTCTCACTTAAGGTGTTAACAGAGTTAATGTACTGTATTTTAGTCTCAGCAGAAAACCTGGAGAAGAGCCTGAAGCATATGGAGAGGCAACTCCAACAGCTTGAGAAGGATTTGCAGACTTTTCCAGTTGCTGAAGATAAGCACGATAAGTTTGTAGCAAAAATGTCTATATCCTTTGGAGTATTCCTTAAAAAAAAGCACACACAGAAGTAGTTTAACTGCACTACTTTAAACTTTAAATGTCTTTGCCTAGCTTTTATCTAGTCTGTAGCATTTATTTCTGAAAAAAATATAAGTCTCTTCTCTCAAAAACTAAATACATGAACAGCCTAATTAAACTATTCATCTGTAATGAATAGAATGAGGGGAAAAATGCTGTCAGGTCTTATTCTGTGTATAAGTGTCTTAGTGAAAAGTAGTTAAAATAGGACTGTTAAGCACTTGACTTTAATTGATTTTTCTCATAAGAATATATTAGAGAAGTATGTACATCACCTTGAGTTTGTTTGTTTGGCAGTGTATGCATTACCATTGAGAATGATTTTGTACATGCAACCATGAAAACAAAATTTCTCGTATTGCTGAAATGAGATTCATAGCTTATGAAAACAGGTTTCTGGTTTTATTTTTGTCAAAATTCCTCTTCTCACTATTTATTCCAAACCCTACGGCCAACTTAACTGCCTGTTTCTCTCATAAGAAACCTTGTGACAGGAAGGTCATTCTACAAGAAAATTTATCTTTAACTTAAACCTCCCTACTAGGTGTTGGCCATATATGCTTGGCACAAAGAACATGCTGGAAGCAAAAATATTGGCATACAGAGAGAGAGAGACAAGTTCAGATTTCCGTAGTAGGTATAGTTAGGTTATTACCTAACTGGAAGACTACTTTGCTATGTATAGGAGGACTCGGGAGACAGTTATTCGTTGCTTTTGATTAATCTAATACTCTTAAATAAAAGATGGCAAGAGGCCCTGAGGCCAAGTGGATATACTAGCTTTTGTCATTGCTGCATTAGGGCCAATTCCCTCTTCAGTAGACTAGCTGCAACCAAAGTGCATACAACTTGGCTTTAGGCCTTCTCTGGACTCTCTGAGGTATCAGTAACCTTTCAATGTTATTACTAATTTTTGTAAGGTCATGTATTTTGTTGGTGAAGTAGTCCTGTTTTTTGTTGTTGTTGCTGTCAGTGCCTTTCTTTTCCAGCTCAATGTGGTTTTGAGAGATTTGTTGCTACCCACCAGCATGGTGTCTCTGTAGGGTGAAACATAAGTTTTGTATCTGAAGAAGCCAATAGTGTAGAAGAGAACTTGGAGAGTGGTTTTGAAAGCCAAGAGGCAAAGTATTGCTAGGAGGTTAAAGGGAAACATATCCATGACAGCATTCTCAGAAATAAAGCTAGTCTGTCTGTGCTTGGTTAAGAAAATGATGTGTGGTCTATGAAGTTTATGAAGAAATTAAATCTGTGAAAAAGGTTAGACTCCTCTTAATCTAAAAACATTATGATTCTGGCATTTAAAATACCCTATAACCTTTTACATTTTTAAGCTGAGGACTAGGGTTTGAAGTAACAGATAAATTAATATACAGCTGCCTTTAGAGATGTGGTTATAATCATAGAGCCATAGAATCTTTTAGGTTGGAAAAGATCATCAAGTCCAACCATCAACCTAATACGTCAAGTGTTAAATCCACACATCTCTTAAATACTGCCAGGAATGGTGACTCAACCATCTCCCTGGGCAACCTTGTTCAAATTCCTAGTCACCCTTTCTGTGAAGAAATTATTCTTAATATTCAATCTAAACCTACTCCATACCTACAAAACAGGTATGAAAGAAGGTAACAAAATGCACTTGGGAGTGAGTGAAGGATAGCCTGAAGAAATTAGTTTCCTGCTTAAGAAGGAAAGCACAGAAAAGTAAGTTGAGAAATAAATCTGTGCTGCTGTTGAACATCTGAAAAAAGTGATTAAGTAGGATGCCTTATTTCCCTTTGTGTTACTGACATATTGGGAATTTCTGAAACCTGATGGCAGAAAGTTAGTGGAATAGTGTGATCGAAGGTTATAAATTGCATTTGAGATAGAATAGGTCATAGTAGTGCAAGAAGTTAAAATACAATAGCCAAAGAGGGAAATGGGTGGACCGTTGTCAGTAAATAGCATAACTTTTCACAGAGTTAAAATTCCATCCCTGTATATGAAGAATAAGAAAAGTTCTTGTAAACAACTCTAGTTAAAAGCAAGCAGAAAACATAAGTTGCTGTAAAAATCAGAAAAATCTTATCTTGTGCTTCCTTCACCCCATGTCAAAAAGTATATTGTACACCTGTTGATGCAGTAGAGAATACTGACAACAACCAGCAGTAGGGAAAAGCTTCTGTATGATGAATGTTTAAAAAGATCAGGACTCTGAAACTGGAAAAGGAAAAAAATAGGAGAATATAGTTTAAAAAAAAAACAACAAAAACTTGTAATTTTGTATGCCATCAAAGACTAAAGCTAGGAACATAATTATTAATTATTATACATATTTATAAATAACCAATGTAAAATACTGTCCAGAAGGGTAGAACATACTAACAGAAGTGTTTTCTCAGCAGATGATTAAACTGTAGCATTTATTTTCAAGATGTTGTAGACGATAATATAAATGAATTTCATATAAGGCTTAGATAGTTAACTAAAGACAGTATGTCTGGAGCTCTAAAACACAGTAGTCCAGAGGTAGCTTTAGCTCAGAAAATCACTAACCTGGAGACTGTCAGAAGCTAAATACTACATTAGTTTAATTACCATGCTATACTTACCCTATTTCCTTCTTGTTTTCCCTAATCATTGGGTATTGATTGCTGTCAGAAACAGGTGAGATGAATATTTTATCTTACTCAAAATAAATCAGTACAAGTAAAACCAGCCATACTATATATTTCATTATATTACACTATTCAAACAGTATTTTGAACAGAAAATGCCATGAACAGGAATAGTTTGCCCTCACCTACTACCTCTCCCAGTAGAACGGCAGTAATTTCAGAACAGTAAAGTTTCATATGGTTTCTAGTAACGTCTGTGAACACACTAATTAAAGAAGCTCACTTTTGGAAAAACAGGAGCTTCAATAAATTACGAAGCAAAAAAGGTTTGATGTAAAGGTTAGATAATCCTGCACAGCATGATGAAGCCTGGACCTGTCTTTACTTTTATTCCTATGACAAGGAAAGCTGAATGATGGTGAAGTCTTGAAAGGCATGCAGCTCATAAAAAGAAATCAGCAGGAAATCTGAAAAAGGAAGGATGGTGCTTTGTTGGAAATAATTTTTCATCCTGAGTACAATTAGGCTCCATGGACAAGTAGGCTATTACATCCTGTCACTAAATATCACAACCCAGAGGCCCCTAATGAACTGATTAGCATTCTTGTTTCTTTAGGAAGTCAGATAGATGCACAGTTGATGCACTTTTATTGACCAAGTCTATAATTATGAATGTTTCCCTTATACATTAAATTGTGCTGGTTTGTCAGTCATCTTATGTATACTAGCTGAAAAGAAATGATAGTCATTATTGAAGTTCATTCGTTTTCTTTAATTAGGACAGTCAAAGAATATTGAAATTATATTGATTTAGACTATTAAATCCATTCAATGTAATGTTCAATAAAAATCACAGTGAACAAAATACACTTGGATGTTCAAAGTGAAAATTTAGTGCCTTTATGGAGAGTGCTTAAATTACATATTGAAAGTTTAATTAAGTAGTTTAGTCTACATCTTCTATATCAGTCCAGCTCACATCTCATGATTTTCTAAGTAGCAGCTGAGAAACTCGACAAGTTGTAGCCTACCATTGAGTGCATTTGTGATAGCAATTTTCACAAAAGTTGATGGAACTAATACCTGAGAGACAGTAAGTTGCTTGATGCCTTTCTTCTGGGAATACAATCCTTTCTTTCTGATCAGTTCCCTGTTCCTCTTCCCTGTTGCTTATGCTAATTTATTAAGGGAAGAAGTAGTACTTAGCCAAATCAAAGCCTGATTCAAGTGAGGAAGAAGAAAACCATTTCAATTGCAAAGCAGAAACTACACACTGCCTGTAAACTGCTGCTTATCCAATCAGCCACATAGTTTGAACTGTACAGTGTCAACAAACCAAAACCTGTAAGATATCCTGGCATCCTAGGGGCTTTGAAAGATTACAGGATCTGGTTAGGTGAAAAAGGATAGCATGTTGCTCTTTGGGATGTTGACTGTGTGGACAGGTAATGAGAGAGAGGGTTTTGGCAAACAATTTAAATTTAACTTAAAGTGTATAATTCCTGTGTGTGTGTATGTATATATATGTATGTGTGTGTGTGTGTGTATGTGTGTATATATATATATATATAAAGGAATATATGGCTTTATATATATATATATATGTCAATTTGTTTTAGTATTATGTTTAGTATAGAGATAAAAAGGATTGAGTAAGTCAAGGAAAAGGTATTATTTGACAAATAATCTTCATAAGGTACTAATTTAAAAATCTAAACATTTGTATTTGCGGTAGAGTGGATGCAGGACTTTGAGACTTTTCAGGATGTCCTGAATTAAGAAACATCCTGTCAGTAACCTGACTTGTTCTATGAGTTTAGTGTTGGATGAATTCTACAGTTCATTGAAGGTAAGAATCATCCTTCTTTTTAACTACCTTTCACAAAAGCCTGGAGACAAGAAAGCTCAAGGATATTACCTATGTATATAAATATCTGATGGGAAGAAGTCAAGATGACAGAGGCAGAATATTTTCAGTGGTGTCCAGTGAGAGAACAAGAAGCAATGGACATAAAAGAAAATTCAGAAAATTTTTTAAACAGAAGTGGGAGGAAAATTTTACTCTAAGGGTGATTGAACACTGGGACTCGTCCAGATAAGTTGGATAAGATCTTAAACAGCCTGTTCTAATTCATCCTGCTTTTTGAGCAGAAGAGGTTGGACTAGATGATATCCAGAGGTATCTTCAGCTTCAACCATTCTGTCCTGTAAAGAGCTTTGTGTGCATTTCTTGAACTATTATAATCAAATAAGGAATTTTACTGTTGAACCTTGCTATCTATATTAATTGAAGTCTCTGTGCCATGTATTTTTCAGATAATTGCATATATTTTTCCCAAGAACTTCATGTGGGAAATTCTAACTGGAACCTTCAAATTCACACCCTTTGGTTTTTTAAAAAAGTTGAAATTCCGGGAAGTGACCTCAAAGTCTACTTACACCAACCTTTGAAAAGTTTACTTTGTTTTTTATAGAGACTATTGCTGGCCTGGGTAGTGGCAGTCTCAGTTCCATTTTGAAATTCTGATAAAATATAGGCAGCACCTGTTAATCTTTTGTTCATATGCAGAATCATATTCCTTGTTGGATTTTCTACACCTAATGCATAGGTTAGTTTGTGAAAAAATCACATGTAGCACATATGGGGTCTTATGAGGAAATGTTTGGCATGCTTAACATTCATTATCTGCTGTAGAGTAACAGCTGCTTTTACATGTCTTGATGCCATACACTATATTAGTATTTTCCATAGTACAATATATTAAAATCAGTATAAACTTAAGACAGGCAATCCACCATGAGAAGAGCTGCCATGAATATGCAAGAACAAACATACAGCAGTTTGAAATTTTGCCACATATATTACTCATTTCATCCCTTCAGTTGTTTTCCTGTTCTATTAATGAGCAGAATGATGATCTGTAGTCCCATGAGTGAAAAAAGGCAGTCCATGAAGTGAAGCCACTTCAGAAAGTTAACAAATAACTAACTTTTTGATTTCCTTTTCCTCCCACCTGTGTTGCAGCTCTGCTGTACTTCTGTCTTCATTCATGCAAAGCCAATGAATTGTGTAGCTGATAATGCATATATATCAACCTGTTCATAATAATTACAGTTGGGATTGCTGTGCTCAGTAGTATTCCCTGTTGTCTCCAGTTTAGCTAGTGCTGGCTAACAAAAGCTGTATTTAAGGAAAAAAAGGAAGAGGACTTATTAAAAATACCTAAATTGAAGCATAGTCTCTGTAGAATGCCAAGAGCTTAGGGTATCCCGTAACACACCAAATGGAAAATAAAAATCTCAGAATTCATTTTGTCAGGGGTTGAAATACTGCACAGTAGCACATCTTTCTCAAATACTGTATTTTGAGTTTAAAGTTGTGCATCACATATTCAAGGGGAGTCAGTTCTAATAATTTAATCTAAGCACTTTATGTGGACTCTAGTGGAAGGTGTCCCTGTCCATGGGAGGGGGTTGGAAGTAGATGATCCTTTAGGGTCCCTTCCAACCCAAACCATTCTGTGGCTCTGTTAGCACAGCTGTTACTTTAGTCACAAAAATTTCTTCTCAAAGTTTCCTTGTTAGCGTATAGTGACATATCATTCATTTATAACATGAAGTCATGCCTTTTATTGATAATTTTAACTTTTTTTTGGTATGATTTTTTACCTTCCTAGAAGATTAAAGAAACATACTGGCCTGCTTGATGTATGGCATCTATACCTACTGACAGCAAAACAAAATTGATATTTATCAGACTGCTCTGGCCCTTACAGACCCAGCTAGTAGCCATCATAGTGACTAATTTGAATATTGTGCCTGAGAACAATATCACATGATTTTCTGGCATAGATTCTAAATCATGAGAAGAGAACTATTAGCTGTACACTTTATAGACATGGAATCACAGAATGGTTTCACTTGGAAGGGTTCTTAAAGATCACCCAGTTCCAACCCCCTGCCATAGGCAGGGACACCTCCAACCTCCAGGGATGGGGCATCCACAGCTTCTCTGGGCAACCCGTTCCAGTGCCTCACCACCATCTGAGTAAAGAATTTCTTCCTATGTCTTATCTAAATCTACCCTCTTTTAGTTTAAAACCATCGCTCCTTGTTCTTTCACTAATTTCATGGTAAGAAGTCCCTCTCCAGCTTTCTTGTAGCTCCCCTTTAGGTACTAGAAGGCTGCAATGAGGTCTCCCTGGAGCCTTCTCTTCTCCAGGCCGAGCAACCCCAACTCTCTCAGTGTGTCTGCAAAGAAGAGGTGTTCTAGCCTTATGATCATCTTCATGGCCCTTCTCTGGACCTCTTTGTGGGCATGCATCACTCCTGAGCTTGGAGGAGGTGATCCTTGAATATTAACCAGCTTCTTTTGGACCCTCCTCCCTCCAGGGATTTGTCCTGTGGTACTCCATGAAGCAGATCCCTGAAGAGGCCAAAGTCTGCTCTCCCAAAGTCCAGAGTAGCAAGCTTGCTGTGCTCCTTCCTGGCTGCCCTCGGTATGCTAAACTGCACCATTTCATGGTCACCCATTTCATGATCAATCATGTTAAGGCTGCCCTTTAGCTTCACATTCCCCACTAGCCCTTCCTTGTTGGTGAGAATGAGGTCCAGCACAGCACCTCTCCTCATTGGCCCCTCTATCACTTAGAGAAGGAAGTTATCATCAGTGCATTCCAGGAACCTGCTGGATTGCCTGTGCCTTGCTTTACTGTCCCTGCAACAGATATTGGGGTGGTTGAAGATCCCCATGAGGATCAGGGCCTGTGAATGTGAGGCTGCTTCTATTTATCTATAGAGGACCTCATCAGCTTGTTCTTCCTGATCAGGTGGCCTGTAACAGACCCCACTATAATGTCACCTGTCACCTGTCCCTTAATCCTGACCCATTGGCTCTCTGTCAGCTCCAAATCCATCCCCAGGCAGAGCTCCATGCACTCCAGATGCTCATTGACATAAGAGGGTAATATCCCCTCCTCACCTCCCCTGCCTGTCCTTCCTGAAGAGCCTGTATCCTTCCATACTAACACTCCAGTCATGGGAGCCATCCCACCACGTCTCCATAATGCCAATGGGGTCACAGCCCTGCAGGCCTGCACACATCTCTAACTCCTCTTGTGTATTCCCCGTACTACATGTGTTAGCATAGAGATGTTTAAGCTGGGCTTACGCATACACCATAAATTCTCTTTTACAATAATTGATAGGGGCAATGGGAGAAAAAGGTAAAATTGTCATTTCTTGTCTTATACATGCTTCCCTGCAGCTTGAAAATAAGGGAACATACATATTTATTTAGCTGACATTCCATTAAACTCTTTATGAAATTGTCCTACATAAGGAAATACCTACACACACTATTTCTTCTTTGAGTTTCTACTTTGTCAACTATATAATCACGTCTTGAATAAATGTGTTTGTTTTTTATTTGATTTCATTTATGTTATGCAGTATTTTGGTGCTTTTTATAAATTGCTTATCTCTTGTAGAAATAGTTCTGTTGTTTTCCACCTAATTTAATTAAATTGTATTGACATTGCAAATAGTCTTGGAAAGCATAAATACCTGCTATACCTAAACACCAGAAATAAAAATGGATGCATTGCTGTTGCTACATTTTAGAAAGCTGTTAGGATGAGGTTTTTATCTTTCATGTTTTTATTTTATTTTATATTTTATATTATTGTTTATTAAAATTTCTGGTTTTACTCTATTTTAAGTAAGGATTAGTGTTTCTTGATATGATAAAATATTCAGGTTAGTTATTGATACCTACCTAAATACTGTCTTGCTTTTATGTATGAGGCAAAATGGCATATGTTTCAGTGAAGTTAGATACTAGTTCTAATCAAATTAAATAATTTCTTTATTTTAACATGAGTATATTTTAAAAATATGTTCTGAGGCTCTAATTTACCTAAACCAAAATTATGTGTTTGACCTTACAAAAAATCGTACATTTGTTTTTAAATGAAACTTCAGATTAGTTTCTGGAGGACTAGGGAAAGAGAGAGAAAGAGAATTCACTTGAGTAGCTTCTTCCAACAGGTTTGGAAACTATATTTTTAGATTCATCTAAGGTAGAATTATTATTATTTGTATTATTATTTGGTTGGTTTGGAAGATTTTTTGGAGGGTAAATGTAATCATGTTGTTACGTAGTTATATACCTAAACCTTTACGTTAAGCGAGAAAAAAAAACGTGCTTGAATTTAGACTAGTCCCATACATTTCATATTAAATTACCTGCTAGCAGGATAATCGTTAAATAAAAAGTGGCAGAGAAAAATTGATGAAAACACCCTAATTTATTTAGAGCGCTAATGTAAGCAGAAAATACTAGGAGGTGTATATGACATGGAAGGAATTATCTTGACACTTTATTTAATGCAAATGAAAAATGTATATGAAACACAGATCTATGTTAAGTTAAAAACTGTGGATTTGACTGGATTTACTGAGAATTCTTGCAGCCTTAACAGCAGCGTACAGCTTTCTAGTTCATGCCAAAGAAGATTTTCAGAAACTCTCACGGATGCATGAGAACATGGAAAAGTTGTATCAGAACGTGATGAGATATTATGCCATTGATCTGAAGAAAGTTTCTGTGGAGGAGTTCTTAACTGACTTAAACAACTTCAGGACGATGTTCATGGTACAGTCTGTTTATTTAATCCCTAAAATTTCTTAGAAATTATTTTTGTACAAACATTATTGAACAAACTAAAAATAGTTTTCTTTCTCTTTGATAGCATCTGATGCTTGTAAAAGAAATTTTACTTTGCGCATCCTAAACTCCTACAAAGTTAGGAGAAGGAGATTTTGAATTATAATTTGTGGATTGTTTCTTTTTGATAGAAGTGGAAATTCTTAATAGCAATTAATGTAATTTAATACAGAACCTCGTACATGTAGACGTACATCCAGACGGGGGAAAATCTGGAAGTCCATCTTTCTTAAATACATCTGTGTTTTCTTTTTAAAGGATGCTTGTTATTTATTTAAAAATAAACCTTTTAAAAGAGATTCTGTGCATGCTTCTCCCATATGAAATCCACATCCAAGACTTTATTTATCTTTTTTCTGCCTACAGCACTTGATCAATGTTAAGGTTTACAAATGAAGAAGGGTCACTTTTCTCAGGTGACAAGTGATAGGATGCAAGGAGATGGCCTCAAGTTGTGCCGGGGAGATTTAGATTGGATAATAGGAAGAATTTCTTCATGGACAGGGTGGTCAAGCGTAGGAACAGGCTTCCCAGGGAAGTGGTGGAGTCACCTTCCCTGGAGGTATTTAAGAGATGTGTAGATGTGGCACTGAGGAACAAGGTTTAGCAATGAAACCTGGTAGGTTAAGTTGATGGTTGGACTTGATGATCTTAAGGGTCTTTTCCAACCTAAATTATTCTATGATTCTGTGCGCCTGATTTTTCAAATACGGACATTGATTATATTTTCCTAACTTGCTCAGTTCCTAATTTGAAACACGGGAGTCCGATTTCAAAAATGCTAAATGTTATGAAATTGTTGTGTAAATTTAATTTGTAATGTTTAAGCCACAACTCCCATTTAAATGCTGTGGAATAAGAATGCTAAATGCTCAGGTTCATCTTGAATTGGAGACACAAAATAATGGTTGTGCTCTATTTCTCTGTATCTCTATTTTCCCATACTTTTCTGTGTCTGTAAAACTAGCACCGATACTGACCTCCTACTTCAGTGTTATAAAGATAGATTCATTAATGCTTTGAAACAGTTAGATATTATTGATGAGCATGATAGGAGAAACCTTGAGGAAAATTAATAATTCTGTCTTGCAGAGCACAGTTTGAAGGCTATATGAAAAGGGTGTGTAGATAAGGCATGAAACCACTTATCATTCAATGACACTAAACAAAATATTGAGTAGCTGCTCAGGTTTGAGTCTTTTTCGAAAAGGTTTTTGAGATGCCTAGCGTGAGACACCTGAGGTTTGAGTTTCAGAATTGTTTAGCACTGGTTTTGATTACTGACAGAAATGGAAGGTGTTTGGCATCTTGGAAACTTAGCTCAAAAGATGTTTAAACTTAAAGTCCAAAACAAAAAGACTACTTAAGTCACTGGTATGTATGGGAAGGTGAAGTTATGTCATTCTTGTTGTCAAGCAAAGTTGACAATTTAAATACAATTTCATCTACTTAGGATGCTTTTTGAGTTTTCAGTTCATGAAAATGTTTAAATCTGGAGACATAGATTTCAGGTTCATAGCCAACATGTTGGAGTGTACTTCACAAAAGCTAACATTTATACTCTGTGACCACCAAATCTAGAGCACATTGAGCTGTCCAGAAACAAAAAACGGGTGAATAATTTAGGAAGATTTCAGCGCATGTGTATACCAGCAATGTAGCACTGATGTAAGCCACAGTAATTCACTGAGAATTTACCAGTGTATGGGGATGCCATTAAAATCACAAAAAGGTTATCTTAAAAATGCTTTTTTAAAAATTATTGCATTTGGTACTTTTTTTTTCTTAGTGTCTGAATATGCAAAATAATTAAAGTCTCTGAAACTCAGTTCTATTATGGCATTATTAGAATATTTGGAGTGCTTATTCATGATTCAAAATAAACAACATTGTATGGCTATTAACCAGAAAACAATAACTTATAAACCCACTGAAATAATGCATATGTAGATAAGAAAAATACACTGCTAAGTCACAGAAGCAATTTTGTGTTTGTTTGTTTTCTTTTGTTGTGTTTTTTTTTTGGTGTAGGAGCAGCATGAGTAAGAATAAATGTTGAAACTGTTTTAGAACTACAAGTAAAACAGGTTGTTTAGATATTTTGACTTCTTTCTGCATTAATGTGTATTCTTAAACTGAATTTGTAATCCCTATTTGGGGCTAATTAGTATGCTTCTAACGTCTTTGTTCTGAATTTGCTTACTTTTCTGAATAAAATGTGCTATATGTGGAATACAAAATATTTGGCTATAAATTAAGGTTAGTTAGATGTGATTTTTAAGCTGTGTTTTTGTTTTTAAGATTCAACTTTCTTTTTGGTAAGACTTCAGTTTTAATGGAACCCTTTTTATTTTTTCCACAGCAAGCAGTAAAGGATAATATGAGAAGGAGAGAAGCAGAAGAAAAACAGAGGCGTGCTAAAATAGCTAAGGAGAAAGCAGAAAAAGAAAAACAAGAGAGGCAACAAAAGAAAAAGCGTTTGTTAGAAATGAAAACAGGTGAGGAATGTAGAAAACAACTCATTTTAGCCAGCATTTTACTGGAAGCAAGACTGCTATTTATTAAATCTAAATGTGCTATGGAGAAAAGACAGAATAAATCATTGCTTTTCAATGGTTAAAGTTTATGTCAAAGAGATTCTTACATTTTGGTTTGTTAACAAGCTTCTCTAGCTTATCTGATTTCCTCAAGGTATTTTAGAACTCATAATGTTGCTTAATATTTTTCCATTAGAACATATTGAATCTTGTGCGACCAAGTATAAATTCAGTTATGCTGAGAATCTCTTATGTTACCTGAGAACAGACACTCTCCAAAGCATAAAGTCATTTTATTTCTTTTAACCAGGGTTACATATTCATTTTTGTTCTTATATGAGAATAAGCCCTTCCTGAAGTACTATGGATTCTTCTTTGAGTATGTCAATTGTTATTTCAACAGGTCCCTGTTGAAACACCTTCAAAGAAACCTCTGTCATACATTTTTAAAGTTATTCATTTATGCTGTGTTGTTTTTGTACCAAGAGACCACAGACACTGTGAATTCTCTGTTACTAAAGAAGATGTCTGATGAGTCTCTATACTGCTATATTTTACCTTAGACTGAGTTTCTAGAATCATTCAGAATGGTATATGACTTTGTAAATTATCATGAGATACTTTCATATATATATATATATATTTTTTTTTCTGAACAGATCTTGTTAACAGTTTCCCACTCAAACCCTGGTTGGCACCTTTGGCATAAATGATTATCTGTCTCTTTCACGTTTCACTAATATCTAGGGTAGATGTGTGGCTTGAGGTGTGAGACTAAAGCTTTATGTTAAGATGGAAACCAAGAGGCTGTCCTCTGAACACAGAAGTTTTCTTTAGAAGTAAAATCAAGACCAGTCAGGAAACTTTCAGTGACAATCTTTGTAAAGCTCACAGAAGATAGTCCAGAAGACTAGAAAAAGGGTAAAACTGATGTCCGTATTCATGTGCAGTTGGAAGTGGTTAGATACTCATCTATCACACATGCTGTATGAACGACTGGTACTGCTTCGGATGTATAATTGATAGTCCTTTTGGGTAAACTAAAGTTCCTCCCCAGTCCTGTTCTTCCTATTTTCCTGCTTCTGTAAAACAGATGCTAATGTTACAGACTTCTGAGCCATATGCCCTCGTGTATATATATACACACACATATATATATATATATGCACACACACATATATACATATACTTACATATACATATATATACATATATACATATATATGTATATGTATATGCATGTATACACACACACACACACACACACATATATATCCCTATGGTAGCTAAACCTACTGCTTCAACTAATGTGGCTTTGAACTATCTATTTATCATCCACAAATCAGCTAAGACATTGAGTAAATAGCTGCTTTGTCTGTTAGTAGTTTTTGTTGTTCTTGTTGTTTGGTTTTGTTTTTATTGGAGCATATAAACATACAGAAAGAGATTTCTTGGCCTTGTTAGCAACCACTTAAGGTCCCTCCACTAAACAGCAGAAGATATAAAAGATGATATTAAGGTCACCTGAAACTATAAGTGTATTTGATCTGATAGTCACTAAATTGGCCGTTGCTGTGTTGTTGTTCTGCAGAGTTCTTTGTAAGGTTTCTTGTGCTTTTTACATTGAATTGTTAATTTAGAAGTCTATTAGAAAATCCAAATTCTTGGAGTGGAAAGCACTTTTGGTACATATATTTGTCAGCTAATACAGCAACAATGTGCAAAGTGGGAGCTTGGAGGGGGGAGGTTGTATTTTTGTTGTTACTTTGGTATTCTTATTACAACCATGCTTACTAAGAAAAGTAGCATAGGCTTTCAAAAAAAGATTACTACTTTTTCTTCTCTTTTCCTAGCTATAGATAGTTTGTTGAAAGACTAAGTCTTCTCTGTAAATCATTCACAAAATCTTTACATGTGACCTGCTAGCAAACATATAACCAGGTTCTCCCCCTGTCAAAACACTCAAACATTCTCATCTGGAAGGTGACATGACAATGTTGAGTAACTTATTTTTTGCTTCATATTGTCTCTTTACAGTGATTCTAGATCAGATATTGGATTTGTAGGTACATTGTTTCAAATATTGTGCAAATGAAGCCAATCAAAACTTCTTAATGTCACCCTTTCAGAAAATATTTTCTTGGATATAAATAGATGCATAAAAAAAAAAAATATGTATATATATATATACATGATATGTATAATATACGTAATAAACATACTATATATATACTGTGTACACACTATATATAATTTATACTTTATATATATAATTTATTTATATATATTTATATATATATATATAAATATATTTATAATATATAATTTATAATTTATTTTATAATATATAAATTTATAATAATTTTATAATATATAAATTTATTTATTTATAATATATAATATAATTATATATATAATTTATTGCACAATATATTCTATAGAGGATAGTCTGTATGATGTATTGACCAATTCTTCAAGGTATCTTTTTCATTTAATGGATCACAGTATACTCTGCATCTCCACTCTTTATTTTTCAATAACATTACTTTTTAACTGAAAATGACAGAAAGGTTAGGGGTACCTGTGTATCATTTAGTTATATGCCAGTTCTGACTTTCTTAACTCTTTCTGTTAAAATTAAAAATAATAATAATTAGTCTGACAATCATTAATGGCTCTGGTTATGCTAATAACTTAGACATTATTTTTCATTATCACTATAAATAAGTTATTACTATCAATCACTATCAATACATATTCAAGCAGTCAGTCCTTCACATTTGTGCCCTAAAATTTATTAAGTATAAAAATTTTATTTAAGTATAAAAACCCATGGATTTGATTTTGTATAGATAGTAATGATGGCTACTGTTGATAGTTGACAAATTACATGACCAAACTCAAGACCTCTTTAGCAAGGGAAGCTAGAATTGAAGTGGGTATATTTTTCTTCTCTTCTATCTTCTCTTCTCTTCCCCCCCAAATTCCAGTTTGAGATCTTAGCCTCTAATAGGATCACTTAGTTTCTAGACAGTTCCCAATCCTTGTTCTCATATCCCTAGATTACATGATGTAAAATCCTTCAGGTGTTATTACTCTCCCCCGCCACAGTACTACCTTCATCTGGATTTTTTTCCTTGCTTTGCTGCTTCTTTTCTCACATGTCAGAGCAGTCTTTCCCCAGATTGAGGTTATGTTTTTTCCAATGACCATTAATTAGTGACTTGTTTACAGTTCTGGAGCTCCTGCTTTCAAATTGTGCCCATAACTTTCAAGGTCTGCACTGCTATCCAATGCTTAAACTGGATTTATATCACCATCCTAACCTTGCTCTGTTAACCACTGGTCTTGTTTACAACACAGGCATTTAACCTGTTCTAGATTCTCCTTTGTTCCTGAAGTCCCTTCCTTTGGATTTCTTCAGCTTTCATCTGCTTTTAAAAGTAATTTGAAGGGTAGGGTTTTGTTGTCAATGGTGTTACCTTCATGAGGTGATTAATATCTTGTATAAGTAACCATAAAAAAATAGGTGTTTGGGGGATATTTCTGACTTTTTTGCATTCAGGAAAGAAAAAAAAAAGATTTTAGAGAGAGAGAGAAATATGAATTTTATCTACCTTATGTTAGTTGAGTCAGTAAGTTGCATATAGCACACTATATGTATGACACCAGGTTCGTCTAGCACTACATAGATCATATTAACCCAAAAGGAAGATGATCCCAAATTTAAGGTTACTTTTAATTTTTATCTTCAGGAAAATAATATTATTTCCCTTCTGAGTGAATACAATAATTTCACCAGTAGTAATTGACACTTAATGCAAACATGGGAACTGAGGTGGTCCGAAAATATGCTAGCCTTCTCATGAACTCTAATCATCTTCCTTAGCCTTTTTTTTTGCCTTTGATATACGTGTGACAACTTAGGCATCTAGATGATAGCTTATATGCTGTCATCCATACCTCTGCATCAAACTGCCTTTGAAATACTGTTACACCAAGTTCAGCGCTGATATGGTCATTTTCTAAAATTACTTAAATACAGATAGTGTCTGATAAGCTTTCATAAAGATTTCATAAAGTTTTTTATATTTCAATTATAAATATTTATACTAATATATTCTAAATAGTAAAATACATCCAGTATTTTATGAATATGCTGAAAAAGAAAGGTAGGCTTTATAATATATATTTGAACCGCTGCTAATAAGACCATAACTTTTTGCTATTTATGTGGAATTGCTTGACTTATTCTCTTAAAAATATATTTTTTTTGAGACTTGAAGCTTAACCTAATGTCAGATCCAAATCTGTGTAAATTATAGTTGATTAAAATTCTGCATCTCTACTTTACATTTTAGATAGCGATGCTTATGTGGCCTAATTATCACAGCTTAAATGGTTCACTGTTATAAGAGGCTAAGTCTGAAGTTCACATAATACAAATGAGTTCCAGATTTTCCTCTCAGCTCCATCCTAACTTGAAAAGTATATGCAATCCAGTAAAAATTTTGAACATTCAAGCAATGATGATATTTGATATTTTGAAATTTATGGTAATAAAATCTGCCCTCTAAATACTGCCTGGGATACCAAGTGGTATTCATCATGAGATGCTTTGTCAATAACATTGCTTTACTTCCTTTTGTGAAGCCAGTTCAAACTATCCCATAGGTATCGTTCCAAAGGTAAATAACCAGTGAAAGGGGGATCTTTATGTAAATGCCACTTGTCTGCATACCATTAAAATTCAGATACATACTTTCTTGTGCTGTTCAGATTCTCAGTAGAAAGCATACCAATCAATTATTTTGATCTTATCACAGTGTAAAGAATCCTATAACTGTGATAACACAAGCTAAATTTATTGTAGCGTAATTGAGAACTCCATCATTGTGGCATCCTCATTGTGTCTTACTTTGAATACTATTTAAGTTACAAGCCACTCTAATCAGTGATTA